GGTAGTTTCTTGGGATTTTCTTTGGGGACAATCATGCCATTTGCAAACATGAACAATTTTATTTCTTCCTTTTTGCTCTGCATGCATTTTACTTCCTTTTCTTGCTTTATGACACTGGCTAGAACCCCCACCATTATGTTGAATAAGAGGGGTGAGAGCAGACATCCCCGCCTTGTGCCCACCTTTAGAGGCTACTATGGGCTGAACTGTGTCCCTGCAAAATTCATGTTGAATTTCCAGCCCCCAGTACCTTAGAATGTGAGTGTATTTAGAGAGGAGGCCTTTAAAGAGGTAACTAAGTTAAAACGATGCTCAGCGGTGGGCTCTGATCCAATATGACTGGTGTCTGATATGAAGAGGTGATTAGGACACAGGCACACAGAGGGCGAAGACCGTGTGAGAACACAGAGGACGGCTATTTGCAAGCTAAGGAGAAAGGCTTCAGGAGAAAGCAATTCTGCTGACACCTTAATCTGAGACTTCCAGCCTCCAGGACTGTGAGAAAGTAAGTTTCTGTTGTTTCAGCCTCTCAGCCTGTGGGGCTTTGTGATGGCAGCCCTGGAAAACCAAGGCATGACCCTTCAGAGCTCCACAGGTTCCCACTGCTCTGACTTCATGAGCTAGTTCTGCCTGTCCTTGAACTTCACCTGATGTGGTCTTTCGTGTCTGGCTTCTTTTGAGATCCGTCCATGTCACTGTTATGTCGGTGGCTCGTTCCTTTTTATCGCTGAGTCAGGTGGCATGCACATTACAGCGACACCACACTCCGTTTATTACGCATTCTCCGGTTGTCTCCAGTTTTGGGTTATTGTGAATACAGCTGCTATGGACATTGGTGTACAGGTCTTTGTGTGGACAGATGTTTTCTTTTCTCCTGGGTAGATACCTAGAAGTGGAATTGCTGGGCCCTAGAGAAGGTAGGTGTTTGTTTAACTCTGTGGGAAAATACCAAACAGTTTCCCAAACTGGCTGTACAATTTTCTGCTTCCACTAGCATGAGAGTTTTGCTCTGAGAGCTCTGTTTGCTCCACATTCCTGCCAACACTTGGCATTGTCAGTGTTTTTAATGGCAGCCATTCTGACGGGGGTGTAATAATACTTCATTGTGGTTCTAATGTGAGTTTCCCTGGTGACGTGGGATGTTGACTGCCTTCCCACATGCTTATTGTCCATTTAGGTAACTTTTTAGTCAAATACCTGTTCTAGCCTTTTTCTTATTTTTTAAATTGAATTGTTTGTCTTTTTTCTTATTGATTTATAGGAATCTTTATATATTCTGGACAAGTCCTTTGTCAGATGTGTGTATGGCAAATGTTTTCTCCCAATCTGCGGCTTCCCTTTTAAAAATCGTTTTAAAGACTTCATTTTTTAGAGCAGTTTTATGTTCACAGCAAAATGGAGAGGAAGGTACAGAGATTTCCCAAATACCCGTTGTCCCTGAACATTCAGGGGTGCCCCCATTATCAACACCCCCCACCAGAGGATACCTTTGTTACAACTGATGAACCTGTGCTGACGCATTGTCACCCGGAGTCCGTATGGGTCTTGCCTTTTCATGTTCCTACTGGTGTTTTGGCAGAAGTTTGTCATGTTGATGAAGCTGTTTATCAAGTTTTTCTTTTGTGGCTAGTGACTTTTATATCCTAAGAAATTTTTGTCAATCTCAAATTCATAAATATTTTCACCTATGTATTTTTAGAAACTCTGTACTTTTAGCATTCACAGTTAAGATTTTGGTTCATTTCTAGCTATTTTCTATGTCTAGTTTGAGTGAGGAGGCAAGGTTCATTTTTCAGTATGAATATCTAAATGTTCCATCACTATTTGTTGAAAGGACTTTATCTTTCCCCATTGATGTGCTTTGGCACCTTTGTTGAAAATCGAACAATTGAACAAATGAATGAAAATCTATTAGTAGCATTGGTCTATTTCTCTATCCCTATGCTGATACCACACTGTCTTGCTTTTAAAATGCATTTCATTTTATTTATTATGGCAATCATTTTATTTAATAAAATAAATTACTTACTATATTAAGTCTTGAAATTCGGTAACTGACGTAACTAGTTCTCTGTTGTTGGGTGTTCAGCACATCTCCAGCATTTCCCCATGAGAAATAGGACTGTTCGGATTGTCCTTGCTCATGTGTGTGGGTATTTTGGAGGGTTGATGTCTGAAAAGTTGTCCCCTATGTCCTCTATGTCCTCATGTCCCCATGTTCCCATGTTTCCATGTCCCCATGTCCCTATATCCTCGTGTCCCCATGTCCCTATGTCCCTGCTTCCCCATGTCCCCATGTCCCTGCTTCCCCATGTCCCCATGTCCCCATGTCCCTGTATCCCTGTATCCTGGTCTCCCAGTGTCCCCATGTCCCCATATCCTCACATCCTCATGCCCATCACAAACGAGCCCAGGGTTTGCCTCATGCCGTGTGCTTGGTAAACATAAGTGGCCTTCCTCCTTAAACCTTCCACTGGAAGGCTGCAAGATCACCATGGGCATATGACTTCACTGAGAAAGTGCACCCCAAGTGTCACCTCTAGACACCGGGTGGACACTTTCCCCACGGGGGCAAACTAGTAGCCCTGGGGAGGAATGGTGTGTGGCGGGGTAGCGAGCCCATTACTTTTTCCCTTCTCCGTGTTTACTGGGTGGTGCATCGTCTCCTCACTGATTTGTAAAGACATCTCTCGTGTCCCCTCCGTGCACACACGCATGTGCGCACACGTACACGCAAGCGTCGCACACCCTTCCTCGCCTGCGGTCTTGTGCCCGGCACCTTAATTGGGCAACCTGTTTGCAGGTCTCTCTCTTGTCAGCCTTTGGGCAACCTGAGGCAAGGTCTACATTCCTCACTCCTTGGGAGCTTGGCCTAGACGCAGGCCTGGTCTTAAATTCTCACGCTCCCTTTCCCCAGTTGTGAGGCTTTAAGAAGCTCGGTGACGTGCCTGAGGTCACACTGCCCGTGAGTCAGGGTGCAAGCCCGAGTCCAAGCCCAGGTGCCCTTTGAAACACTGGTCACCTCCTCCCGGTCACAGCTGGGCGTGGCAGCTCAGCTTCCTTAGGTAGGTGGCGGCAGGTAGGGTCAGAGGGAACCTGGGGACAAACTCCACATCACCTCAGTCTTCAGCTTCCTGGAGGAGGACGCACCACGTATCCAGGGCTGGGATCCCAGGGCCGGCACGTGGTCCCTCTCACTGCGTGTTTGTCAAGGGGATCCATTAGCGTGTCACTGTAGAATTCTTCCAATCTTCTTGGGTTGAGAGGAAGAATACCTGGGAGGTGAAATGAGTAGCATATTCCAGCCCAACACCCTCACTCCATGCCCCACAAACATTTGTAAATATTTAGAGCAGCTGAGTGTGGGAGCAAGGGCCGTGGACAGCGTCTGGGAACTTGTGGCGGAGCCCTCCACTTCATGCTCTGTGGCAAGGTTAAGGGAAATCACTATGGGTTGCAGAGATCGTCCTGCTAACTGGTCCCTTTGATGTTTTGTTTATCCATAGCTTCATTTTTTTTCTTTTCTTTTCTCTCTCTCTCTCTCTCTTTTTTTTAGCACAGCAGAATGTCATGCTACATAGCTTGAATTTTTTGGTCACACACCCAAACGACATTATGTCCTCTGTGCAAGGTGCTGCCACAGGTGCCTTGTGAAGGATTGCCCAGGGAGCCCCCTCATGGCACCGTGAGGGCTGTACCCCTGTCTGACACCAAGGACACTGAAGCCCAGAGAAATTGCTTTGCTTTTAAAATAAGAATTCAAGGCTAGATTAAGAAACCATTACTGAAATTGAGGCAGAATTTGCAATCAAAGCCTTTCAAGACACCTATGTTATTGCTTGTTGATTCTACCCCCAAACAACAAGGGAGCCCTCCTGCTGTTCTTGTCCAGGTTGCAGGGGGGGGGGCGGCCTGCCGGAGCAGGCCTAGGGCACCAGGTCTCCCAGGGAGCACCTTGAAATAATCCGTTTGCAGCAGGGCCTCTGCATTTTCCAACTTTCCATGGCCATTTCACTGTTCCCACCCAGAAAGGTCTTAGGAAGCCTCTGATGGTGTTTCTAGCCCTTCCTTGGCCTGTCTGGTCTGGGGCCAGCTCCCTCGCCGCCTGCTGGACCCCTCCTCCCCGGAGGCCTCTGCAGCCACACACCTGCTCGGAAAAGCCGACAGAGGCAGAAGCGGGAGGATGGCTATGCTGGGTCCTCTGTGCCCAGAGCACTCAGGGGCCCTGCAAGCAGCACCTGTTAAACTTTAAACCGGCACTAGCTGCTGCAGCTGTGGGCCAAGCAGCCCGGCGTGGCGAGAGCTGTGGATGGTATGTTCACAGTCGTCCCCACCACCCTGCAGATGAGGCACCTCCAGAACCAGCCAGCCAAGCTCCTCTCACTCCGGGTAGTGATGCGGAAATGCAAATACACTGTCGTTTTGTGACCCATGTTGTGAAAATTAGAAAAAGGAAGTTGTGTTTTGCTGTTGCGTGAGTTCAGCCCTAGAGGAGAAACACGCTTGACTTTGGAAGACCGGTGAGTGGGGTTTGCTCCCAGGGTCCTCTCTGAGCCCTACGAGCCTGTCTGGATTTGTGCGGGGGACTTGGGGGTGGTGGGGGCATTCAGCGCAGGAGCCATTTGAGGGAGACGGATGTTTTCAAGGCAGGAAGCTGCTCTGGTAGCTCTGAACAGGGTCTTGTTTTTGTTCTGTTGTTTTCTGTGGGTTCCTCTGGCATTATTTGCAAAAAGTTGGAGTCATTATGAGCATCAAATGGCAAGTGTGAGAAGCCTTTGTAAACTGCTGAGTGCCGGGACAGCGCTGGCTGTTGTCTGGGGACGGTGCCTGCCTGCGCCCTCAGCAAAGCCCCAAGCCCGGCAGGGGCCCGGGTCCGAGGCTGACGGGCTGCAGGTGCGCCTGCCTCAGCCAGTGGGACCCCGGCCCAGGCCCTCTCACGGGACCCAGGCCGGGGGGCCACTGGGTCTTCCTCTGTCCGGACAGAGGAGGATGGTCCCAGACATGTCCTGGGGGCTAGGCCTCCCCACAGTGTGGCTCTGGAAGCCTCCTCGGCGATCTGCTGTTTAGACATGAACAGACCTAGTGTGCAGTGTGGCACTACTAAGGAGAGCTGAGCCCACCAGGGCCTCCTCAGGACACCATGCCATGGCCAGACAGCACTGGACAGCCGCAAGGCCACCTTGAGAGGCTCATAGCCTGAGGGCAGGGTCACAGTGGCAGTGGCGGTACAACCGATGCCACCATGGTCGTGCCCGCTGTGCAGAGGGGAAGATGAGGCCCGAGGGGGAGGGGCATATTCAAGGACGCAGGGCATAGCCACACCCAGAGCACCGGCTCCTGGGAACCTGCGGGTGCAGGTGCGCGGTTCGGGGCTCCTGTCCTTGTGGCTCACCGGGGCGTTTGCATGTTCCTGGGGTCGGTGAGTGCTGTGGGGTAGAGAGCTGCTGCCGGCCCCTGAGGGTGACGGAAAGGTGGGCCTGGGGCTTCTGAGACTGGGTCAGAGAAAGGAAGCTGGACGACAGGCCGGGGAAGGGGGGGCAGGAGCTGCGGGGCACAGAGCCCTGCTGGAGCCACCCCAGTGCCGTGACTTTGGGTAGCTGCTCAGACTCTGTTTCCATTTCCTTGTCTGTAAAATGGCAACTAAGTCTCGTCAGGCTCTCAGTGTTTTGAGGCTGGGTGTGCTGAGTGCAGCTCTGCTACTGCTCACATCTGTCCTCACCAGTGCCCATGACAGACATTGTTCAGCTATTCTTGTGGGAGAGGAAACTGAGGCGCAGAGCACTTCACTGGCTCGCCCGGGGCCCCTAGCCTGCGAGCTGCCCACTGGGCCCCAACACAAGTCTTCTGAGCCCAACAACTTGTTCAGCAGCCCCGGTTGGGTGGGGCTGGCCAGCTGGGTGTGGAGGGGAGGAAGTGGTTTGTCCCCAGCTGGGCTGTTGCCGGAGGCTGAAGGCCAGCAGTTCCACTCCTTGGGGGCGAGGTCTGTGTCTACACAAAGACTGGCACCTCCCCACGTGCAGGCCCCTCAGAGCCACACCGGGCTGCATGCCCTGCACACAGAGGCCCGCAGCCCTGCTCTGCTGAGGTTATGGCCGAAGTGACCTGGTCCTGAGAGGCCTGGCCGCCGTGTGAGGCCAGGAGAGCCACAAGCCTCAGAGGGCGTGCCTGGCTTTGCTGTCCTGTGCCCCCTTGAGGGCCCCGGGGGAGGCCCGTGGAGGAGAACGGAGACCCAGGGAGTGGCTGCTGCGTGTGCCGGGAGCTCCCACTGCATCCTGCCCACCTGCCCCAGGTGGCCCATCAGGACCCACATTTACAGATGAGGACACTGAGGCGCTGCAGTAAAGGGAGGAGCAAGGGAGTCAAAGGCAACATTGGGCAGAGGTGAAACCCAAATGAGACCGGGTCTGTGGAACATTCTGGTGGCCACAGGAGGCTCAGGGCCAAGCATATGCTGAAGACAATGAACAAAGGCAGAAGGAAGAGCAGAGCTGGTCACTGCAGTGCCTGCCTGTCCCTAGGCAGGACAACCATCAGCTGGTGGGGCTGAGCCAGCCTGGGAAGGAAACAAGAGATGAAGGGACCTTTCATTCACCCCCGACATTCCCCTCCATGTGCTGGTCCTGCCGTTCTGCAGATATTGTGGGTCCCGGTGGGTGAGAGGGGCCTGGTGTCTGGTGGGGTGTACAGGAGCCACATGCTGGCCACGGACCAGTCTGTGCTGGCTGCAAGGACGGGGTGGGGGCAGGCTCTGCGTAAAGTGCAGGCAGCCACGTGTGGGTCTGGAGCACGTCCCTGTGCCCAGGCACCCCCAGCTCTGCAGGCGAGATGCACGCTTGGCCTCCCTGCTCTTCCCATGGGGTCCCCCCCCCCACTGTCCCACTGTCTTGCCTGGACGTGTAGGAGTCCCTGGCAGGCCTCCCTGCCTCCTCTTCGGCTTCTACAACCCTTTCAATGCCTGAACGGGATGCCACTCGCCGACAAAACCATGGCTGCCTGCTGCTGTGAGATCCATCCTGACCCTACCCCTCCCTCTCTGGTCTTGTCCGCCTGGGCACGCCGCAGCCCGCGTGGCCTGGCCACTCACTCTCCTCTGCCCCGATGCCCTTCCCTGGGTCTGTGATGCTGTTCCCTCTGTCTGAGAAATGGGGAATGACTGGTCACTTAGGTCCCATGAGGTGGGATGGCCTGGTCACTTAGGTCCTGTGTGCTGGCTGGTGGTGGACCTTCCAAATCTGCCCTGGGGTTTTGGGTCCCCGCGTGTATACCTCTTGCGAGTCATGTATGTGGCTACGGGAGGTGAGCGCGATGTCTGGCCCCCCTGTCACAGTCATCGCCTGACGGGTCACAAGATGCTGTGGGGGAGCCGGGCCCAGTGAGGACACAGGAGGCAGACTTTGACTTTCCATGATCTCAATTTGGATTTTGTGTTTTCAAATTTGGAGTCAGCTAAAGCACATTTTTGTTTGTTTACATAAAGTACGTATTAGAAGGGAAATAAAAATTCCTTGCAATGCTGATTCAAAATCTCTTTCTTTACGTACCAAAACTAGTTACTGAGTTCTACTGTGTGCCCGGCTGGGCGGGGGGTTGTGGTGAGAGCAGGATGGGAGGGGCATGTCTTCTCTGGGGAGGGCCTGTCTGGGGTGGAGCTGGATACACCAGGGAGTAAGTGTGCTGGGGCTGAGCTGTGCCCCGCCCTGTCCCCGCAGAGGGAAGGGTCGTGCAAAGGCCCTGAGGTGGCTGCTGGGAGAAGGCTGGACCCAGGGAGGGTGGTGGAGGGAGAGGTCAGAGTGGGCAGCATGCAGAGGGATTGCAGTGCAGATCTGAAGCTATTGTGAGGTTCTTGTTTGTCTTGTTTCATTACTTTTTAAAAATTATCAAACTTGTCAAGCATAAGTAGAGAGAATTATGTGATGAACACAGGGTGCCCATCGGGCGGCCAGCCTGTACTCACGGAAAGAACCGAGTTCAGGCCCCTCCTCACCCAAGTGGGGACCCAAGGGTCCTGGGAGCTGCAGGTTCAACGATTTTCCCCCAATGCGTTACCATGGAAATGTTCACACATACAGCAAAGCTCAAAGAATTTTGCAGCCAACACCCATGTGCCCTCCCCTGAGAGTCTACTTGCTTATACATCTGGCTACCTATGCAGAGAAGAAATATATTTTATTTTAAAGGTTGCAATTTTATTTTTATGGTTGGTTTTTTTACCTTTTTTTGTTTTGGAGTGGAGCCAGAGTCTCACTCTGTCACCTTGGCTAGAGTACAGCAGTATCATCGTAACTCACTGCAGCTTCAAACTCCTGGGCTCAAATGATCCTCCTTTCTCAGCCTCCCGAGTAGCTGGGACTATAGGCCATGCCACCATGCCTGGCTGTTTTCTATTTTTTGTAGACATGGGGTCTCGCTCTTGCTCAGGCTGGTCTCAAACTCCTGACCTTACGGGATCTTCCCGCCTCGGCCTCCCAGAGTACTAGGATTATAGGCGTGAGCCACTGTGTCCAGCCTGTAGTTGCTTTTTATGTACAGCAATGGACAGCAATTTTTCATTCATGGCTATAATGTTTGTATTTATATTCCTTCTAGATGAAAGAAAGAAAAATAGGAACAGAAAAGAAATGTAAACTGTAACTAAATAAAGAATATTTAAAAATAGGAAGTAAAAGAAAAATATTGCGTATAAATAAAAAGTAAAAAGACTAAGTAAAAATGGTATGGGTGGTCATTTCCTGACACCCCAATCCCACATGTGACCGTGGCCCAGTCTGAAGATGTGCTGGGATTCTAATTACGGCCCCTGCATTGCAGCTGAGGCATTCCTGGGCTTGCTATCTCAGCCTTGCATCTCTGCGAGTTTCCTGTGCTTGTCGCTAGATTTCACCCTGTCCTGCTGTAGCTAAGCAGGCCTTGTGGCCTCTGCTTGTGACAGGGCCTGGGAGCGCACGGGGTGACACTAACCTGTCGGACTGATGGGAGCATGTGAAATGGCCAGTCTGAGGGTGTAGTTGTTGTGCTCTGCCTCAGACTTTGGGAATCTTTACAGGACTTTTAATATATCCATCGTACAGACAAGGAAACTGAGGCTCGGGGAACTTGAGCTTGTCCGGGGTTGTCCACACAGTGAGGGGTAGAAACAGGATCATGCTGGATCCAGAGCGCCGGGGTCAGCCACACCTGCACTGCCTTCGAGAGGGTCTTGCCAGGGCCGAAATGCCGTGTTCAGTCTGGGGGTGCTGTCATGTCCCAAGAGACCCCCGGGGTAGGCCTGGGGCCAGAGCCTCGTAGGAGGCGGGGGCTGTCTGGAGCCTCCTATCAGTTTGACTGTCCCTCTGGGTGGGCAGGGGGACTCCATCTTTCCCTCTGCCTCCTCTAGTTTTGTCACCTGCCCAGTGAGGTGTCCACAGTCTCAGGAATGCAACCCACCACAGGAGTGTTCCTGCATTTCCCCACAATCATTTATAATAATACCCGGGCCTCCAGGATGGCACTCCCCTCTGTGTCACCATGCATGCTGTCCCCCAGCTCATCCACCAGGTGGTGGCACCGTACTCTCCGGCCCGGAGGCCACACTGTGCGGCCCTGACCAGGGCCCACCCCACCCTGGGGTCTGTGCAAGCCCCTGCCCAGGGTGCCAGTTGCCTGAGGAGCAGCGGTGGCTGCACAGTGGGGACCTGGGGGAGGGGAAGGGCAGGGGCCTCAGGAAGGGGCACTAATGATTCACCTCTGGCGGATGCCCCCAGCTGGGCCAAGAGGTCCGTAAGGCGACAGCTGGCCTGGTGCAGGGCCTTATCCTGCAGGGCCCGTCCTTCCAGGTGGCACGTGTGGAGAAAAGGCTGCAAGAATAGCGGCCCGGGTCCCTGGCATGGCTGTGAGTTTAGGTACGTTTGAATCATTGTCATCTTGGCATGAACTCACAGAACTTCCCGTAAGAACCTTCCGAAATGCATTTTTTAAAAGCTTTTCTTTTTAATTGTGGTAAAATACACATAACACAAAATGTAACACCTTGACAATTTATGAGTGCACAGCTCAGTGGCGTTAAGAACATTCACATTGTTGTGCCACCATCGTCACCATCCATCTCCAGAACCTTTTATCTTCCAAACTGAAACTCTGTCCCCATTAAACAATAACTCCCCGTTCCCCGCCCCCCAAGCCCCTGGCAGCCACCATTCAACTTTCTGCCTCTGTGACCGTGACAACTCTGGGTCCCTTGGATGAGTGGAGTCACACGGTATTTGTCCTTCTGTATCTGGCTTATTTCATTTAGGGTCGTGTCCTCAAGCTGCATCCCCGTTGTGCCATGTGTCAGCTTTCCTTCCTCTTTAAGGCTGGACAGTATTCCGTTGTATGGACAGACCACATTTTCTTTATCTTCCATCTGCGGGCGAATGCCTGGGCTGCTCCGCCTTTTGGCTG